CATTATTTTTTTATTTATTGTCTCTCTCATTTACTCTCTTAATAAATAAGGAAAATTTTGAAAAAATATATATTTCTGACCTATTTATTATTTTTAACTAATTTTAACTGCTAATTTATTAAATATGATTCGGTTATTTAAAGCTTATGTATAGGAACATAGGGAGTACTTTTTTTATTTAGATGTTCCCTCATAGTTTTTTTGTACAAATATTCACATGTATTGTTTCTTAATATATAAGAGTTAGTTTGACATTCAATTTGATTCTAAATATAAGATCTTAATTTATTTTATCTCTCATATTTGTTAATTTTTTCAGGATAGTTCTTATAATAATTGCACATCATAAATATTTCATCAAATAATAGTTTCAGGTTTCTAGCTTATATACATGATTAGCAAATATAATTTAAAGAAGATAGCACATATTTATTACAAATAACTAATTTAACTAATTTTCTTAATATACTCAAATTAATCAATTAGCTCTTATATTAAAAATTCAAGTTAGTACCTTTTTATTCAAGATAATCCTATTCAAACATGTTATATGGTCATAACATGCTTGATTCTTCATATGATAAGAAACTAATTCCTTCTATTAGACTCAACTATTTTTTTGTTACAAAGTAGAAACTTGGCCTGAAAAAGAAAAGACCACGGGAATTAAAAACCAGATTGGATCGGTTAGTTCCGATCACCTATCCGATCTAGGTGATCACCAAAATCGAGAAAGAATTGAACCGATGTGACTTGGTCTAAATTGTGATAGCTCGTTGGGATAGGCGGGTTACTGGTTTATTTTTTTAAAAAAAAAGGGAAAGGAAAATTCAGTCACCAAATCCGCGGCTGTTCTCCTTACCTACCACTACCATACAAAATAGTTTATTGCTTGTACTCCTTCTTCCATTCTAGTAGTGATATCTCTCCCTTGGACCATTGCAGACGTAGATGATACTAAGTTCAAAGTAGAGGGACCAATCAGATCTGGCCAAGAAGAAGTCATGGAAGCTACTGAAAGTCCAAGCAGCTTTAAGGTGCACTCCTTCTAGCTCGTGGGTGAGTTGAGACTTGGCTGTGGTTGCTCCTCTCTTGTTTGAGGAAATCCAAAGACGCAAGTTTGGATCTGGTAATGGGTTTTGAGGAAATGACTGGGGGAAGAAAGTGATTATTATTAATTCATCGTTACATTTATTAGAGAAAGAGAAAAGGTATTTATGGAGGAGAGAGATAAAAAATTTGTCAATCCTGTCAATCATATTGATTGTTGCAAGTGAAAAAAGAAAAGAAAAGAAAGAAGACTTGATGTGTTGAAGAAGGAAAGAGAATAAATCATAATTAAAACGGGGACATAATTATAAATTTTAATTATTGTTAATTTGACTCCGATTTGATCTCAATCTGATCTATTGACCCTTAACTCACTATCTTAACCAGTTCATTCACTGGTCTGGTTTTAGTATCTTGGAAAAAACTAAACTAGAGGGATTGAAATCCCAAACTATCGGAGAGTCCGCAAGGCATCCAAAAGAGAAGTGTGATATTCCTTCTTTTGCTGAAGCATCAGTTAGAGAATTCTGTTGCCTAGGCACATGAGTGAGAAGAAGTTCCCAGTCGTTGACAATGTTCCCTTCCGAGTACATTGAGCTGGTTGACTCAAACCCTTCCTCTTCTGTATTGAAAGCCCAACTTTTTATTGGGCCACTATGCAAAGGCCAACTCTACGTTAAGGATGATCCAGAACTTCGACATTGTTTGTAGCAACAAATCCTTGAGCCGAAGAAAATAAGAATTAGGGGTGTTCACGGGACGGATCGGGACCGGGACAGGCCCGTCCCGATTCCGTCCCGGTAAACAGTAACGGGACAGAAAATCTGTCCCGTGTCCCGGCCCGTCCCGAAATTATTATTTTTTTAATTTTTTTAATTTTTTTTAAAAATCTGATTTTTTTAATTATATTTTTTTGAGCTTAAATCTTATAAAAACATCTTTTTTATTTGTTTGGACACTGTTAAACAAAAGCTCAAAATATTACATATAATAGTTATTAAAAACTCTAAACAAAAGCTTTTAATACAATAAAAACTTGCTAAAAATTCTAATCATCAATAATCTCAAATCATTAACAAATATAAAAACTCTAAATAAATATATCCATAGTTCCATACAATAGTCTCAAATCTTAAAAAAAAATATGAAAAAAAATGATATTATATAAAAAATTTTAAAAATTAATTTTTTTTTAAAAAAGGAACCGAGACGGGACCGGGACGGGACGACCCCGTCCCGTGTCCCGGTCCCTTTTTTGTCCCGTCCCGTCCCAATAAGACTGGGACCAGAACGGGCCGATCGGGACGGGCCGGCCTTGAACACCCCTAATAAGAATACTCTTTCAACAGAATATAAAAGAGATGCAATTTACGTATATTAAAAAATCATCATGCTACGGGCTTCAATAATTGGCATTGTATTAAATGATTTCAAATATTTATTATATTAACATTTCTTCAAATATTGGAGACAAATCGTGGTAAATATATTGTGTGAATGTAACTATACAGTATGATCATGCATTTGTGACAAATGAGAGTACAAATTGATTTGCCAATAGAAGAAGACTGTTAACAGGAAACTTTAAAATATTTTCATACAAATATTTTGTCAACTTTTAGAATTGTGTGAGCTTTAGATCTTATATAAGTTTTGACAAAAAAAAAAAAAGGATCTTATATAAATAACTCATTCGCTGTGTCGTCATTTTATTGCGAAAATCAAAAAGTTATCAGTGATAAGGAATCCGTTTGTACAGGTTTTTTGAAAATAAAGAAGTTAGATGTGATAGCAGCCTAAAACAATTTTATCCGATTTAATAGAAAATTATCGCAAAAAACTGCTTAATGTTAGAAAAATTGCGAGGAAAAAAAAATCCTCTATTACCAAATCTATTGTCCAAAAGGACTTAAAAATTTGTTTAAGTACTTAGGCTCAAACTATTTTTCAGCCCATGCAATTTTTCTGCAATTGTATGTAACACATTTTCAATGATATGAAAAATAGAGTCATAAAATATCTCTGACTAATAAAATTTGTGATGAGGTTTTCATCAATTTTCTTTTGATGCCTTGCCTGGCGATGATATATACAGACGTAGAGTTTATGAGGGCACGGCGTGGACCCTCTAATGGTACAAAAATTAGCAAACTGTTGCTGTAAGTTAGGCATATTAGGTAATGTGTTTTTTTCAAAGTTGAAAAAAACCCATTTTACGTGATCTTCAGACTGAAGACAAAGAAGCTACCTAGGTGCCAAGGCCAAACATGTTTCCGATTCTAGATTATGACTGAGTGTCGAGTTTTTTCTTAGGCCGCTTGAGGGCTTACCATTTGAACTATAAATATATAAAATCAAATACTTCTTTATTCAGATGCTCCCTCACAGGATTTTTGGCACAAATGTTCATTCGTGTTATCTCCTCTTCTTAATATAAGAACTAATTTGACATTTAATTTTGATTTTAAATATAAAACTCTAATTGACTTTATTTTTTATATTTATCTATTTTCTTTTAGGTGGTCTTTGTAACGGTTCCACATGATAAATATTGCATCAAATGATAGTTGTAGAGTTCTAGTTTATACACATGATTTGTAAAAATATTTTAAGAAAGACAATACTTATTTATTATAAATAATTAATTTAACTAATTTTCTTAATATACTCAAATTAGTTAATTAGTATTTATATTAAAGATCTAATATATTATATTTTTATTCAAGACAATCTTGTTCGAAACATTATCAATCATATTACATATTTATAACATGCTCGATTCCTCATGTTATAAATAACTACCCCTTCTATTAGACTTAATTTTTTTAAAAAAACAAGATAGGGACTCGGGCCGGAAAAGAAAAGCTAGATCAGGGGGGCTGAAATCCCAAACTATCAGAGTCCGTAATGCTCCCAGAAGAGAAGGGTGATTTTCGCTCTTTTGCCACAAAGCATCAGCTAGAGAATTCTGTTCCCCGAGCACCCGAGTGAGAAGAAGTTCCCAGCCGGTGACAATGTTCCCTCACAAGTACGCTGAACTGGTTGACTCAAACCCTTCCCCTTCAATATTGAAAGCCCAACTTTTTATTGGGTCACTATACAGAGCCCAACTTTACGTCCAGGATGATCGGGAGCTTCGACGCTGTAGCAGCAGAATCCTTAAGCCGAAGAAAAAAGAACACTCTTTCAATAAAAGAGATGCAATTTATGTATATTAAAAATCATCATGCTACGGGCTTCAATAATTGTCATTGTATTAAATGATTTCAAATATTTATCATATTAACATTTCTCCAAATATTGGAGACAAATCGTGGAAAATATATAGCATGAATGTAACTATATAGTATGATCATATGGATTTGGATTTAAGATTTAAAATATCATATTCAAAATATGTATTTAAAATCCTTTGTTTGAATACTACTTAAAATAAAGAACCCACAAAGAAGAAAAAAGAGTTTTCCCATATGACTTGTCCACATATCCGGATAGCATTGAAAGAGGATGTTTGATATTTACAATAATTACGGTAAATTAGGTATTTGAAATTGTAAAAGAATTTGCTTGAATTTGAATCAAATCCAAATCCATATCCATAAATAAAATTTTATTTACCCAAAGAATGAACCTGGTTCAAACTCAAATCCCTACTATTCCAGCTAGATACAAGCTTATTAAATCCCACATACCACGCACTATCTCTTGACGCCATCAACCAATTTCTTGCAAAATTAAGATGATCTAAATCCATTTACTCAATCAAATCAGAACAAGAAGATTTTCCCAGGATAAAACAAGGATAGAATGAGAGAACATTAATAAAAAGCCCAAGAAAAATGCCGCTCACGACAGCCAAGTGATCAGAGTTCATCATGTTTATCAACACAAACACATATACATGTATATGAGAAATGAATAAAATGATCTTGCAAATATAAATAATTCATGATAGATTACTGTGTAAGTTATAGAAACTAGAAAATACATGTCAGCCTTCCTTTTACATCGGTCAGATGGAGCATCTCATCTTTGGATCTGACACAGTGCCAGGCTTAGCCACCTGCGGATTTGAGCGTATTACTCAACCTACAACAATAGAAAGCTCATAACTTAAATTGCACACCATGAAACTGATCGGTGCGGGAACAGCGCACCAAGTCTGCCAACAGCATGGAAGCTCAGATTTGTAACAAAATACGGTTTCAATCTTATTTGACTCACCAGTCCAGCCCCTCAAAAATTCCTTCGCCTTTTATGGCAGAAGTTTTAAAAATTGCCCATTGGCGACTTTTAATCTTGTGTAGTTCTAAAGCCTCTGTCACCGCGGCATCATCAAGGGCCCCTGGAAGGTCCTGCATAAAACAGAGAGATACATTTACACAAAAATCACATAATCAATTCTTTAATTGTTATATGGGCAAAACGTATGTTGAAGCATATCACTTCTGAATATATAATTGCATCTATCCCCATGAACAATATTAATATTTTCTAGCTCGATTTCATATAGCAAAGACTTCCAGCAGACTAAAATCTTATTGATATAATCTCTTTTGTATTATTCACAAGGTCTTCTTCCGTTTCCCCTTTCTATTTTCTCCTTGACTATGAGAACCCGACAAACAAAATTAACTAACCTGTTTATTTGCAAAAATGAGAACAACGGCCCCTTTAAGCTCCTCCTCCTGATGAAAAGTTCAACAATAAAAAACGTAACGGGTCATATAAGTTGGCAAAGATTAACAGGATACAACACATATCTACTCCAAGGGTAAAGGTCAAGTATGAGGGATAAAAAATAGAGATTATTTGGTATTACTTTCACAAATAAAGCATGCAGATATATGAATCTCAAATAACTTGGAAATGGAAAGTGGTTATTGGGCATCGACCAGTGTGCTTAATGATAGTATCAAATTACTTGGTTACGAAAATAGTTAACACATACTACAGAAACTGCTCAAGCACTCATTTCTTATAACCAAGCCAAGGCTGCTAATAAGAAGCTATTTTTTATTAGTCATATCAGTCTTTCAATTCAGAACAACCGTTTGCAAGTGAAAGCTGCTAAATATAACTACAAGATAAACTTTAAATCCACATTACATTTACCAAAAGCATCCACCTTAGTTACATAGACCAAAATTGCAAATGGGCCACTATTGCTAACAACTTTTACAACGCCTGCCCTGCCTTCCAAGTGATATGCCTCTGTTTACTGGTCATATTTACTTAATAGTTTATGGAATAGACAAGGGTTCACATCATATAAAACATTGCATATGTCTCAAGACTTTAACCATGATTAGCATACCTCCAGGATAGCATGAAACTCTTCCTTAGCTATCACAAGCCTGTCAACGTCACTTGAATCAACAACATAGATGATTGCTTGAGTATTTGGAAAGTAACACCTCCAATAAGGCCTATGGATGAAAAACCAAAATAAAAAGATGTGCTCAAGATTCCAATCGAAAGTTTATTTTCAACAGATCATGGCGAAAAGCAACATAGCCTAGATATAAATTAATAAAATAACAGTTCATTTTTGATCATGCATCCACTTAGATCAAGTGGATCTAACTTGAATGACACAGAAATACTAGTTGATGTTCAGGCTTAATTATATGGCAATCTTTAAAAGTTGTGGCCGATTAATTAATGTATTATACAATAATCTTCTAAATTTCTGCTTGGCAAAACCACATGGTTCGAATGCTCTTATCTATTTCACCACTGTGAGCTCAATGAAGCAAAAGAGAATCCAAAATGCTTACCTAATACTTGTTTGCCCACCTGTTTCAAGAAAAGCAAGCCATCAGAATAAGAAACATTCCTCTTATGTTACAAATGCATGTCAATTCTCATGAAATTATAAGCTTATATTGAGAACAATAAACTAAGATGAAACCAGAGAAGTTCTATAGTTGTCTGAGTTGGCGTATTTATTACTTACTAAAAGGAATAGAAAAAAGACAAGAATAAAAAAAAAGGACCAACGTGAAACAGGACAAAATTATTGCTAGGTTCTTTAAGTCTTCTTAACCTACTAGATTTCCATCAACCTGGAAAAAGAAAAGAATATTCCAAGGTTTCTTTGTATTTTCAACCTATCTGATTTCCATGAACATTTAATGATAGCAATAAAAAAATATACAGAAGGTCAACAGAAGACGAAATGTCATCTCCTAGTTGCTTTATGCGCCGTACTAATATTATCTAGCCCTAACACCGGAAGCTTCTTAAGTCTGGCATCAGCTTGTGCGCTCAATGAGACAGGCTGAGAGCTTCATTGGTTCAATTCGCCAGTCATCTATCTTTCAAGATATATATGTGAAAAGATAGTAATTTCTGATCACTATTTGGACGGACTCAGAAATGCGAAATGGACAATCATTTTGAGGATTCTAAGCTATCGAACTATCATATATAAAATTAAAACCTCCTGGCCATTGTCATTATAAGTCCAATGAAAACATATGCCGGCTATGTCAAGTAAACAAGTTACTTAAGTCCTTACCTAAATCCCAGACTTGAAATTTAATGTTGTTGTATTGCACAGTTTCAACATTAAACCCAATTGCTGCATCAAATAAAAAAATAAAACTGTCAGTAATAACTTCAAATAAGGAAATGTCTAACAGCATATATACAAACTGTCGGTATTCTAATTCTAATTTTCCATATCTTGGACCAAGAAATATGAGAATCGACATGTTGTACATATCTGTTCGGTAGATTGATATGGTTTTAACAGAATGAGTTCCCAGAAATATAACAGGATACGATATGACACTAAAATAAGAATTCACAACTAAAACATCTGCTCTGCAGCGGGCAACCAATGTAGACAAACCAATTATTCAAAAAGAAAGCATGATTTGTCCAAATCTAAAATGAGAGAGTACCAACTTGGAATAGTGGAGACAACTTCGCCCATCTGAAGCCGATCTATAAAGGTAGGACATAAACAACCACGTATCAATTACCCCCAAAAAAAAAAATTATCAAAGCAAAATTCACTCAGGGTGGACCAGCACAGAGCTCAGATACATACAGAGAATTGTTGTTTTTCCCGCATTGTCGAGACCAAGAACAAGTATTCGAGCTTCCTTGCTACCGAATAGAGAAGAAAACAATTTCGTAAACACCAAACCCATGTTCCGATTCCGCAGAGGGACAGGCAGAATGCTCTTAGCGCATGAATAGCATTCAGTTCACTAGAAAAACATGCATAAGTGTTTTGAAGAAAATCAGATCAGATCGTAAAGCAGAGCCCTGATGCTCCCTGCCAAATCACGAAAAGCAATCAATGTCAATAAGACTATGATTCTGAACAGCATACAACTGCGAGTGAGGGAGAATTCACGTGCCTGAGGAAAAAGGAGAGGGCCTGCGATTGAATTGCCAGAGGAGGATCAGGATGGAAGATAGAAAAGTTGAGTCTGTGAAGCTTAGCTTATCCGTCTCAGAGGAAAACGAAAACGAAAATGGAGAAGGAAATGGAACCAACGGAATTAGAGGGAACCGGGCAGGATGCTTAATTCCCGGTGCGTTCGGGATCTAGTCACCACTAGTGCGTTGTGGATTATTTAACCTGGGCTGGGCTCGCAAGGTTCCGCTTGACCCGAATTCTTCAATATCTGGGAAATTATTTTTTTCTATAAAATTATTTAATATTAGCTCCCATCCTTAATATAAAAATTAAACAAGAATTGAGTTTGGTTATAAATATAAGAGTTCGATCAATTTCAACGCAGAGAGTTTGCAGCAAGCAGTTATTTTAATGTAAATGATTTAAGCGGATATTCTAGAAAAACCAACACATATTTTTGATAAATAATTATAACTAATTTTTTTAATCTATTTAAATTAGTTAAGTAGACTTTATATTAAAAAGGAAAAGTAGTACATGATTTTATTAAGTTATATCTAAACAATAATTGACGTAATTAAAAGTATATCTCTCTGCATAGTGTTTTTACATCCACGGATGTTTGAATGAAAGCCAAACCAGAGTTTTAAAAGTGCTTTTACATTTTACGAAGTAAATATGTGGAGGAGTTTGTCTTGTTTTGAAGAACAGTGCTTTTGAAAAGCATTTTTTCATCTTGCCAAACACCTTTTAAGTTTAAATCCTTCAATTTTCTTGCAGGCAGAGAAAAAAAATCGTTGAAAAGTACTAACGTATATCTCCCAACATAATGCTTTTAATCTTTTTAGGTATCTTTGCTAGGACATTTGGGTTGCACGGTGTAATAAGCTGTTCAATGAAGAGGAAGGTATGGACAAGGATATGGGGAAAACTTCTTTCTTCAGAGCTTCATGGGATAGGGATTTATCAAGAAAGTGCAAGTTCTGCAAGGAAAAAGTTTCGATAGAAGAGTTTCAGAGTAGGAGAAGAGCAAGATAGAGTGACACTGGAAATTGATGGCTCTGTGCTTCCTAGTGGAGACAGCAGTTGTGGAGGTGTTGTAAGGAGTATCAACAATACTTGGATTCTGGGGTTCAGCTGCAAGCTTTCATCGGTCTGCAATTATGTTGGAATAGAGGCTTTCGAAAGATTCTTTTAGCTACTGATTGTATTAACGTTGTTAATCTCATAGGTAGGGGTGTGATAATGACCACTCGTATAAGGATGTAGTGGATGATGCTAGGTTGATTTTTAATAGGAATTGGCAGGTTCATATCAGGCATATTTGAAAGGATCAAAACATTACTGCACACTTAAGCTAAATTCGCCCATAGGTCTTTAGAAATCTTTTACATCTTTAATCAATCTCCACCTCTTATTCAAAAGGCGGAAATTAATGAGAGCATAGGTAGCTGAGTCTTTGTTTTGTTGTAACCTTTTGATTTAGTAGTATACAATTTACCATTAAAAAGAAAAAGAAAAAAAAGAAGTTCTATCTACGAGAAGAGAAGATTAGAAAGAAAAACATTTTTTAATAGTCATAATATTCTTTCAAACTAAATGTGAATTATCATACCCATCAGGATGAACAAGTCAACTTAAAAAAAAAATTAAAAACATAATTTAAATAATCTTACTAAAATTTTGACGAATCAGCTTAAGAAAACTTGGACTTTTACGTTTTTATTACCGACGGATAAAAATTATTTGACTAATTTAAGTAAATTAAAAAAATTTAGAGTTAATTATTTATAATAATTAAATATTATCTTTCTTAAAATACTAAAATACTCTTACTAATCATGTATTAGTTAAATAAGTTATTAATAATAAATAGGTATTTTTTAAAAAAAATATCCTTGTTAATCAAGTATATTGGTTAGAACTATTATTATTATAAATATTATTCTAAAAAAAATATGAAAGATAAAGTAAATTAAAATCTTATATTTAAAACTAAAATAAAAATCAAACAAATTATCGAAAGTAATAATATAATAATGGCCATTCTACGATTATTGACGAAGAAAGGAACCTTAGAAAAAGCTAAAGCATCATTATTCATGAACAAGTCATATTTATTTTGTCATGGCCTGTGTGCGATCCATAATTTTCTGCCAGAAATCTGTTCGCTAAGCACTTAACTGGAGAAATGTGCAGGACCACGTGGATCTTAGTATTTTCCATGTTTTATTATTAAAAAAAAAAAGAAAAGAAAAAAAAGAAACTAGGAAAGCCTAAATATCTGAATCATCACTAAACAAACGATTATCAAAATAAAAACGATGAGACTTCCTACAAAGCAGACTGAAAGATCATCTCTGCTAGCTCCTGCAAAACATTGAACAAAGCCGTATTAAAATTTATGCCATAGTTATTACTGTGCATAGGACAAATAAATTTAACAGGCAAATTTCACCCAAACAAACAAACAAATGAACAGAAAGACCACTCTCAGTTCTTCTCTTCAGCAAAAGAAGTACATAATATGTGCAATACCTGTTTAGCAGAAGGAACCTTTGGTTCACCCATTTCTTTGACTTTTTTCTCAAGCGTTTCAAAGTCAGCTTTACCAGCCTATTGCAACAAGAATATCTTAAGTACGAGGAGCATTCAATGAAAAGGAAGGGCCAAATTGAGGGGAAGGAAAGGAAGTTACCTCTACTTGAGCCCCTAGTTCAGTGTCAAAACTCTGATATCGCTTGCGCACGAGTTCAGCCAGAGAACCATCCTTTTTTTGAGATAATGGAAAACATTTAGTTTCACTCGTAGGATAATACAAATGAATTATGAATGTGAAACTTCCAAAAGAATAGTCCACACCCCAGAAATATACTATTGTTACATGGGTCTACATCAAATTACCTCGATTAACTTGGCTGCATTCCGGAGGCCACGTGCCATGGTATCCATTCCAACAATATGCGCAATGAACAAGTCTTCAACATCTGTGCTCTCTCTCCGCCTAAAACATTGTTTTGTGTAGAAAATTAGAAAGAAAATTAACGAATTTGGCACCACAATTTTATCAGATATGTATCAACCCATAAGGGAAAAAAAAACTTCATGGTGCCAGAAGAAACTAGGCTACTCACAGTTTTGCATCGAAGTTGAATCCACCAGGTGCAAGTCCTCCCTGGCAAAGACAAAAACAGACAAGAATCCAGACAAATGAGCTTGCATTTCTAATGACAAGGTTTATCGCATGTCATGATGCAACTTAAGAGACGTGTTTCATACATTCTTGATCACACTGAGCATATCATTGTGGCCTCTCCAACGTCTGTCAATCCCAAACTGATCTCTTTGTCCCAACCTGTAGTACAAGGCTTCACATTACAACTTTCAATCTCAAGGGTTATGATGGCACGAAGTGAAGTTCTGTGGTAATGTACACAGAAAATATATTTTCTGGATTGAAAGAGAGGAGGACATACCAACTTGAGGATCACCAATTTGCTCAATATTTCCCAACAAACCATTAATTCTTGCTGTTTCAAGCTCGTGATGACAGCTTTTGTGATGACAGGGGTTGAAGGTTTACAGACAAGTCCACAGTTTCAGTAATGATTATCATATTGAAAATAGCAAATACCATCAAGAAACTACGATACTTCAGTGTTTGATTTACCTGTGACCAGACAGGGTTGCTTGCACTCTTTGTTCAGTTTGAAGTTTTTCTCCTACAGAAGAAAATGGAATCAGATCAGATTGAGTATATAGTAGGCTGGGGCTAACATAGTTCTCAACATGACGTGAAGAACATTTTAATTATAATAGAAGACTCTCATGCTTGAACCCTTGTTTTGTTAACCTCGCTTCAGCAGTTAGTCAGTAGAAAACCCGACTTGGTTCTCTATTTCTTTAAACAAGTATCGGCCAAAGAAATAATAGAATAAACCGTCTCAGCCCTTTTGAAGAAGGCCAATCCGTCATTAACGGCAGTAGTGGGAGAACAAATTCATGTGCAACGACCATATCAAGGACAAATTACTAAGCACAACAAAGCCGTAGACTAAAGCATTTAGATCACACGAGATGAAATATAGCAGGAAATGGATAAGAAAGTAATATCTCTTTGACATCAAAATGTGAAACCTACAGTAAACATAAAATTTATCATGGAAAATATTTGAGAATCCAACTTCTTGTTCTTGAGTAAAAGCCAATGAAATAAGGAGAGCATGAAAATTACCTGTAAGTCCATATTCCGCAAGAAATTGGCAGTGGTTGCAGCATCACCCAATCATATCTAAAGGAATACAACGTGTGTGATTTAGTTAAGATGTGAAAAAAAAAATCCCGATTTAATAATAGACAGGAAGAAGAAACTTACTGATGTTTTGTAGGTTCTTGTGGCTTCGGTTCAATCAGCAGTGTCCCTGACATCGGATAGGGGGGGGGGGGGAACCACGTAAGGAAACGTATCCATGAGAGAGAGACACAGAAAGAGGGCGGAAGGAAAAGTAAAACAGATATGAAAAGTCCCACGAAAGTTTGGTATGATAGGCAAAACGAAAATTGAGCAGCTGTAAATATTTAATTCGTAATTGGATGATTAGCTGTAGGCTCTATTGTTTTAATGGTATACGATGGTTAAGCTACTTAATTATTGGTAGGAAATTTCAAAGAAGATACCTTTAAATCCAATCTTCTTTTTGTAAGCAGCAGCAGCTTCAAGAAACCTGGCCTGTAAGCAGATAAATTAACAGACAACAACATGGAACTTATTAGAGACAAACTATTCAATGTTTGGCATAGGCATCCATAAATATTAAATATCAAAAGCGTAATCCTGAAAGTATATCAGTTCATTAGATACGGACACAAGGAATAGACATGCTTTTCAGAGATTACGCATCTTGTGGAGT